ACCGGCGTCTGCTACAAGTGCGTCGTGTGCGTCGATTACATGATCTGCTCCACGTGCGAGGCGGACGGCATCGTCCACACCGGCCACAACATGCTCCGGATCGCGGCTTCCCTGAAGAATTTGATCCACTCCGTGTCAGGTGGGACTTTCCGCTCTCTTTCGAAAAGAGGAAATTGTGGGATAGATGCGACCTCTCGCTCCCCTAATTTAGAAGAATCTTCTGGCGAATTCCAAGGCACTTCAGCCCTCAGAGGAAGTTTTTGGGGAAATTTACTGAACTCCAAAAGTTTAACGTGAACATTTTCTCGGATATTTTCTCTCTTCTATTTCTATTTTCTATTAAGCTGCACAACACCGAAAAGCCTTTTCCAATTGAAAGTAACTGCATTTTTTTTAAATTAATTAAAGCTGACCAGGAAAGGACATAACGGGTAGGAAAGTACCTTTTTTTGACGACGCGAAGGACTCGCTGAAGAATTGAGGCCGTGGCTAAACAGGAGCCCAAATTCGAATAAATCCAACAGATTCTGTCGAATTCCTTCCTGAAATACCGAAAGGGAAGATCCACAAAACCTGACAGGAAAGAAGGAAATCTACTAATAAGCCTGTAAATCGAGCGAGTCGACATTCCCCCGCTTCTCAGACCGCCATTCAAATTCAATTCAACCGCTTCGATGCGATTGCCATCGCTCATTCGCCCCACGGTCGCTTTTTGGAGTCTGAAGATGGAGTTTTGTCCTATGCAATATGATTTTGTCGTCGTTGAAGGAAACGGTCGGTTTTTTGGCCTTTTTTGACAGGAGACGTTCACGGAGGCATCAAGTGTAACGCCTGCGGCGGCCCGGTGCGAGGAAGTCGCTACAAATGCCTCCAATGCGACGACTTCGACCTCTGCTCCTCGTGCGAGGCCAAAGGGACCGAGCACTCGCATCACCTCCTCGTCAGACTTCCATCTCGCATACCCGCCGTCCGTCTTTCGCCTGACCTCGACGGCCTCATCAGTGAGTACTTCTCCCGGTCTTACGCTTTGATGTTGATTGGAGAGAAAGGAGACACCGCGTTCCTGTCCCGCCAATTTCAATGAGATTATCGCTTCCGAACAACTCCTTCAGCGGATGAAACCGTCCTCCTTGCGATGCATTCCATCGAAACGCTCAGCCTTCGAGCCTGGATTCCCGTCGGGACCCACGAGGTCCAGATTCCAATCGCATCTACTGGCAAGGGCGTGGGAACCACGGGGCTGAGGATCCCCTGTTTTTTTTCCCGGTTTTGAGTGTCTGGGTCCACTTCCGCGAAAACTTTACCAGCTCCTTTGCTGGGTGTTTGGAGTCATCTGCCACATTGAGAATCATCTGCCACATTGAGAATCATCTGCCACATTGAGAATCATCTGCCACGTTCGCGCCGCCGAAATGCATCACGCGGAGGACGGTTTCATGCTCGGAAAATTCAGCAATAACACGAGAGTTGGTCAAATGAAAACGAGAAAATCTCGATTTAAAATAATCTCTTATCGATC